TTACATTTCAAGGTACACAATGATATGAAAAATTACTAACGGACATCAACGAATAAGTATCTAACAATATGTTATAATATGGACAACATTGTGTCGCACAGAAGCGCGAATACAACAGGTTTTGATAAGCAATACAGCCTCATCTTTGGTGACAAATATCTGATACATACAAATAAGTTACAAAGGTACGAACGAGTAAAAGCAGCGACAGAAATGGATTGAAAACTGAACATTATTGTTGTAGAAACAGACAGCATAATGTTTTACGTATGTTATTTTAGTAAGAATACTTAAACAGGACAAATTGATTTTACGCCTCTGAAGTTAGTCATAGTATTTTTCTGCATTCATGTAGAAATATTATGGCTAACTTCAAAGCGTCATCTAAGCTTTAGGAAACTCTATTATACACATAGCAACGTATTTATATTCGTGTTGTGTCGATATTTTTTAAACAAATTATTGCTGACTGCCGAGTTAGGTTTACAAAACCGTACCTAAATAATGATTAGTTCTCAAACATTTCGTGCCGCCTTTGATAAAAACTTATCCAATTGAAACATCTTAAGCTAGTCACTATATGAGGTAGGATAGTGAAATCAGAAATGTGACTGAATATTCACTTACCGTCCTATCGACGGAAGCACTATGTTTTACTTCACACGTTGGTGCACTAAAGCAGTTTCAGTACATTGCAGGATGTAGTATGAACTAGGTGTGTAATAACTTATTTATTACACACCTAGGTCATACTTCATCCTTATAAGGCGAATAGGGATAACGATACACTGTTTTTTCTTCGCATGTCAGGTAGATTATTAAAAAGTATTGGACGCATATTTTTTCTCGTATTCACAACAGTACAGAGATATATTGACTTTAACTGTCGCATATTGTCTCGTTGGTGCTTTAAACCAGTTCCAGTACATTGCAGGATGAAGTATGAATTCAGTGTGTAATAACTTATTACACACCTAGTTCATACTTCATCCTTATTACTAATAAGGTGAATTGGGATGACGACAGAACATTACAGAGATATATTGACTGAGAGATAATAGATATTAAATGCCGCATAACGTCACGTCCGGGTAGAATTTTTATTTTGAAGTGACGTCACGAGTCCCACTCCCAAACATGACGGGCATTATAATTGTATTATTTTTATTCTCAAAAGCAAAAATAGGTGTCCTTTATTTTTTGTTACCTAATCTAACTGACGGAATTTATAGAATTTCGTTTACTTTACCCAAAGTCATTATTCCTATACTAGGTACACTCTTTTATATGTATAAATCTAAAACACTGGGTAGTTTTGTACAAGCACAAGCGTTTTGTGCAATATTTTAGTTTGGAGTAATACTGCGAACGAGTCCTGTTCGTTAAATTTCTATAAAATGTCTTAATTTTATTGGATAGTTCAACGCTGAGGTTTGTTGGATAAGAGTCTCTTGTAAAAATATACTACATAGCTATAAATTGTTTGTAGTCCAAAGTATTGTATCAAAACAAGCGAACAAGATAAAAGTTATTTTCAAAGAAATTCTTACTACAAACATTTAGCGGGTTTTGTATATGAACGAACGTGCCAGTTTTAGTGTACCAATGTGAAGTAAAAAGCAACCGAATAAGATAAAACGATTCGCCAAAAAATCATCGCTTATTACAGCCACCCGGCACCTTCCCTACATTAACTTTGTATCATTTTAATAGAAACCTGACCACTCAGATGTGATTGTGATTGTCTTGCGTTGGCAGCCCACTCTAATGAAATCCCTACAAGTAGTATACTTGCTCAAGTTTAGCACACATTGGCTAGTAGTAGTTTTTTTTTATATCATCCACCATCAAGTGTATATAGATCTCGAGTTAAGTTTGCAATACCACACGTGGACCAGAGAATCAACGAATCGACAATGAATATTCGACAAAAGGTAGGCGCAAATAAGCGATGACCTTAATAGTGCATACGAGTATAGTCAATATTCAATGAAACAAAGTTCATCTCGCATCTTTTCATCTCTAGTTGACTTCATTTCAATACAATTCTTTGTGATTGTGGCTGCGTCGCATTACGTGAGGTTTCTGCCAATGTCTGTCGAGTTAACTTCGCTTACGTACTCACTCAAGGATGTCATTTAACTATTAAGTTTGTTGCAGTGACACTATGAATATATAAATTTAATTGACGTTTCTAAGAGCAAGCGCACATTTTCGGTCAAGCCACTAGATCAAGCAACCGATCGCCACCGCTGGTGGTTTAGGGTCGCCGCACACGGGTCACCGGCCACAACCACAAAACGCCGCCACCGGCATATTTCCTGTAGTTTTCTAGATTTTATATGAACTCGCCGCACACGGTTAACGCCGGTGGCCACCACACGCTACAAATCGTCGTTGCTCGCTTCTTGTGGCCCGCATCGGCCACTAATACGCTTATACAAAACGTTGCCACACGCCACTCACGCGATTCTCCACCTTCAAACATTCTAATTTAAAGTCCATTATAATACTGCACGCATGTGTTAAAAAAAAGTAGCAGCCACCGACGGCAAGTGTCGATCATCGACCACAAGTGGCTGTCGCGCGCTTCAGCTACCTTTGTAGCCACTTCTAGCTTCTCGTGGCGGCGTTTGTGGCGGTCGCGTGTGGCGACCCTTAGTGCCACTCGAACGCTTACTTTGCGCCGATACAATACAAAATGTATGGGAAAATTCGACCGCAGTTTATAGACGCATTCAGTGGCCGCCACAATTGGCCACAGTGGCTCAATGTGCGCTTGCACTAAGTGAGGATGTTAGCGCTAATACTGAAATGTCACATCTCTCTGAATGTGGCCAGAGCTTATGGATGAAAGACAAGAATATCCTTTTGAGTCACATCATATTAACTGTACTCATTATACAACATAATATATTTTTATAATTGTTTAATTATAATGGAACTAACACAAATCATCTAATTAGGTTTACTAGCAACACGCTAATAAAACTTTGCAACATTACGAAATAATGTTCTCAAAATCTTCGTGTTACACTTAAATTAAACATCTATATGCTCATTGTTTAAGCCGATAATACAATGAATAAGAATGAAGATTAGGTAGCAAAAATGTTTAGTGGCAATTACTAAAGTTAATGGGTTACTTATTATTACATTACACACAAACCAAATTAGAGAACAACAGTTTAAATTCTAGTGTTTAGTACAGAAAATAGGTTTGCGTTATTGAATAGCAGCTCAGCGGTGTCAATCAGAAAAGGGCATATTAACAACAAATTTTCCGTTTTCCTTACAAGATAACCTTAAAATCTAATGAGACTTTCCATGCACCGTCTAATACTCTAACAAATTATTACACTACACATACGCTAATAAAACCATCCAATTCAGTAACTCCTCACTTCTATTCCACACGAATAATAAGTTCGATAAAGCTCTCAATATTCCAAACACTTGCATTTATCCCAAAACTTACCGAAATGAGAAAATAACTGTACATTATTATATTCATAAGTATACTATATACACAATATTTAGTATGGGTCCTACTAACTTCTTACCTTTTATAAACGTTTTTTATCACTATCATTTCTAAATTCACACAAACGAATTGATAATATATATTTTTTTTACATTTATAATTCTCGCCGGCAATATCACAAAGCGATCGTTTTAATATAAAATAAAAAAAACACAAATTAGTCGATAGACTATACTGAACATTTGAGTGTAATGTCACTCAACCATGTTAACATTCATTTATATGAATGACTTAACGTTTAAACCGCGTACATTAATAGATCTTGACACCAACTCAGTCGAGTTCATTAAATTTCTATTGGTGACTAAGTTTAAGATGTAAAGATATAGTTACATTAACTATAGTACTATTCATTTAATAAAAAGAAAGTCTTATCGCCTATATATACAACGTGCATTGTGGATGAACTTACAAAGTAGTAGGTACTTATATAAAGACAACTTAAAAGTTACGTAAACGACAGACAAATACGAAGACTAAATAAATCATTATAATTCTGTGGACACATCAACCAGCCTTCCGAGTCATAGCTCTAAATCATTACAACTAAATTTTTTCTCTATATCACTAATATTACAACAGGCAAAAATGTTAATAAGACATTACAATTAAAACATGTTTATTAAAGCGAACTCAACACGTTCAATCATTATACATTTAGTAAATAAAAACCGATTTCATTAAACATTAAAATCATTATTAAGAGTGTAATCAATGTTGATAAAAACCTAAGCTCTTATGTAAATCATACCTTAAGGTATCTTTTAATAATGAAATTTGTTTTATGTACTATATTAATTATAGTATAGAATATATTCTAGCTAGTACTACAAGTATCTGCTTAGCATATATTTCGATTCCATGTTAATAACGCAGTTGAGACTTAAAAAGGTTGTGGAAAGAACGCAAGCCAGATTTAACTGCATCAAAGTATGGTAATTCATAACAAAACATCAAAAATAAACAATCAATGAGTAATAATAAGAAAGTTCCTTGGATTCAGAAAATAAACGAAACTGAATTGTGATGAAACAGCGCAAGTATAATAAACGCCAGTCTTGTGCAAATCAAAATTATAAGTACAAAAAGGTGCTGCTTAGACATTATTTAAGTTAAAACGAGAAATCTTCAAGTTGCTTACTGTCATAAAGATTATACACGAATACTCATATTAGAAGACAATAGTATATTCATCGATCACAAACTTTAAAAACTCGCATTTTAATATTTACATGTTGTTTAGTTCATAAAAATAAATCTTTAATAGGTACTTATCTATCACCTTTATTTTACTAAAGTAAAATCGGTAACCGGTTTCTAGGCGACCGGTCGATGTAGACGGACGTCTGATGAATCATCGGATGACAGCCCTTTCCACAGACGAAGAAAAGACGATACGTGATAACTAACAACCGTAAACATTAGACAAACAAATTCACGCGACAAACGGCATGCATCACAACGCCAGCGTATCGCGTATCAGTTTTCGTACGGTGTTGATGTGAGATACTGGCGGGGCACCGGACAAATTGTAATGTATCTTGAAAAGGTACGGCTGGATATCCGAATACGAAGTGTCGAAGACCAAATCGGCGTCAGAGCGGCTCGGCATCTTGGGCACGTACTCGTGGCGGTTAATGATCTCCGTTATGAAGACAATTTTGTCTTGAAGCATCTCAACTACGCTCTCGTGTTTGCTGTGCATATCGTGTTCACTGCGTTCTGTGAGCTCGCAGTAAACAGTCCACACTTCCCAAGGGACGCATTCCGGTTGGAAGGGCCAACGGGCGCGCCTCTTCTGGAAGAACTCGAGACTTATCGACCCTCGAGGCGGGGAAGAGGTGCCGTCGACTGCGCGCAGGAGCTCCGAAAAGTCAGAGATCTCCCGTTTAACGTCTCGCCCCAGGGCTTCCGACTCGCAACAGACATAAGTAAAGTCGATGAAGTCGCAGTCCACATCCACATAGCTGACGGTGCGGATGGAGTAGCTTTCTTCGTTGTTGTAGGTAAACTTGCCGCTGGAGCGATGGAAGAGTACCGTATGGAATATGCTGGCGACCACTTCGTCCACCTGACGGCCCTCCATGGCCAGTTCGAAGGCGATGGTGCGCGCGTTCATAGTGCCACTCACTGAACCGCACCCCTTTTCACTAACACTGACATAATCACTCTCCGAACCTCCTTTCCTTCTACGCCCCGAAACTGTCAACCCTCACTAAACTACTACTGCACACTGAAATGGTTGACGACCGTGTTTATATTCTGCATCGCTGTTAATAGGTGTACAACTCACCCATGTATTTCAGCGTTCCACAGAGGGTGGTGGTTCGCGAGCCGACGGATAGCCACTTGGACAGACCGAAGTCGATCAGCTGGATGTGGCAGCCGGCGTCCAGTAGGATATTCTCTGGCTTCAAATCGCGGTATATCACTCCGGCGTTGTGAAGGAAATCTACAAATAAACAACATGTTTAAAAAAGATAAAGATAAACGTAAGCAATAAGGAAAACAAACAAATCAATCTTCTATATTACCTATAGCGATCGCTATCTCTGCAACAAAAATCTTCACCAGCTCCACAGGTAACTTGCCGTGGTTATCTAGTAATGTCAACAGCTCGCCACCAGGAATGTATTCTGAAACTGTAATAAGTACATATATTTTTTTATGTAATAACAATAAATTTATTTTGGGTTTGAACTTTCACCTTTACAAGGTTGCGTACAATTACGGTGAAAATGATAACAAGCTACAAAACATTGGCATAGTAAATGACTCAAAGTAGCAAAAGTTCGTCATCATATCTACCTATAGATATGCGAAAGAGTACTTAAATATAGCGGTCAATAATTTCGCAAGTGTATAGGTGGAATAAAAAACAAAACCATTAACTAACTTATAATCAAACTGGTAAGTTTACAATAATATCTAATTAACTTTGTTCTGATTTGCGAATAATAACGCAATTAGGCCATTACAGCAAAAAGATATTAACTACGTATTGGTAATATAGTTTGACGGCAATGAACTCTGTATTCTGGTAACAGAAATGTGACATTTGAAAAATTAAAGTACAACATTTTTAAAATTAAAAATGAAAGTCTGAAAAATTTTGTATTGTAATACTATTTTTAGAAAATCATTTTCTATTTTATTTGAAATAATTTGTATTCGCAAATGTTAAATACTTTTTAAGCCGACTTTGGAAAGGAGGTTTTTAAAATTCTCAATTCAGTCAGTATATTATTATATATTTTTTACGAATATACACCGATTAGGCTGAGATATCTGATCCGATTTACGTGATTATTTTGACCGATGCTGAATAGTTGCTTTTTAGTCCCATACAAATTTAATTCGGTTTGGAGCAGCAGTTTTTATTTTATGTCCATTTTTGGAAACTTGGCCAGTGTAATTATTCCGATACTTTATTTATATGTACACCGATTAAGTAAAGATTTTGTTCAATTGGAGATACTTGCCCTATAGTTACATAAAAAATAATTAAATTCACATATTTCTTTTTATTTTATAATCACTTTTGCTTACTTAGACGATGTAATTTATACGACATTTTATTAGGGATTGAAACGAAAATTACTTTTAAACAAAAAAAATAAACCCGTCTTCGAAATCGAAAATGGAACTAAGAAATAAAAAAATCACACCAAATCGGGCGGGTATGATTTGCAGACGGGCTGGGTCAAGATTAAAACATGGTATAGATTTTCATTTCTAAAACCGGTATAGTATGCGTGTTTTAATCTCTTGACCCACCCGACTTCCAAATCATACAAGGACCTAGGACCCGCCCGTTTTCATGTGAACCGTACCCCTAGCACGAACCATTATCGAATTGGAATAGTTTGCGAGTGCGAAATATTATTGTCAAATGTGTACTGATTTTTAGTTCTCGTTACGTACTTTGTGGCGCTGCTGCAAGGGCGGATCCAGCTTTGGCGCCAGGGGGGGGGGGGGGTCATATAGTCGTTGTCAAGTCACAGTGGGTACAGATGGACTCAGCCCAGGGGGGGACCCCCATGACCCCCCTCTGGATCCGCTCTTGCGCTGCTGTTCAAGTTTCCATACAAAATTTGACATTAACATTTAGCACTCGCAAACTATTCGAATTCGATAATGGTTCGTGCTAGGGGTACCAGATATTTTTTTTTTGATAAGTCAACAGCCATACCAGCTTGATGCGATTTTTGTTTTTTCTCTATGACATGACACACTGAACTGAACTTTGTTTTCGGGCTACTACGTTAAAAAAACATCAACACAGTAAACACAATTTATAAGTAAAGGTATATTTTGATACATTATTATGGAAATACGTATTTTGTATAAAGTATTTTAAATAAGGTAGTGTCGCCGAAGATGGCCCAGCTCCTTGGATAGCACACTTAAAAAAAATACAGTTATGATTATTCGAAGCATTTGAAATTTCGCGGGTTTATACTACTAGTACCATAGACATTACTGCAAGTGTATTTCTATACCGGTACGTAGCCATTTTGAAGACAGATGACAGTTTGCTTGGTCATGTCAAGACGATACGCGTTTTATAATCACCTTAATCTAACGCCTTTAGAAAGATAACAAATTTAAAGCAAAACTCTTTGCTCTAAACTGTGAAATTTCTTATTTAATCTATTTATCAGCGAATTTACAAGTGAATGACATTATTTTATATCCTCTTTTGTATTTATACGAGATTATACTTAACCCGTACGTAATTTCCTATCCTCTCCCATAATATAATTTCCAAACATAGCCAGGACCTTTCAATGATGATTGAAATGTAGTGTTAGTATATTTTTATAATAAGATAAGATAAGAAAAAAAACTCTTTATTGCACTACACAGTAACAAAACAAGCAGATACAAAACAAGTAGAAAAATACAACATTGCACAAAGGGCGGTCTTATCGCTAATGAGCAATTTCTTCCAGACAACCCAATGAGCTGGAAATAAAATAAGGTAAGCGAGTAAGGGAGGTTGTGCGGAACACAAGGCAAAAGTAGATCTCAAAGTTAAATTTAATATTATTCAGTACTTCGTGTTTATTTAATAGTTGATTTTATTAAGTTAATATATTTAAGATAGCCCACATTTTAATGTTTGGTTGATTTTTGCCCTTTACGAATAATGTTATGAGAAGGATGTGTTTTTATTATGGTTTTTTATGTAAAAAGTGTTTAAGTCTTTATAATGCATATATTTTCATTAATATTTTTCGGGCCATCTTCAGCGACCAGCTTCCCAAGATAACCCAATACCAAGATTCTAAAAAATATTAATATTTGTGTTAAAATGCCAAAATCTGTACTACTTTTTTATTATCTTGTGTTTCAAATAAATATACTTACAGTAAAACCCGATTACGACGATTTCACAGGGGGTTGAGTCACCAAAACCGCGTCTTAAGCGGGATAGGGAAATTTCGAATGTAGGCATTGAGGTATTCAATATAGGTACAATATTTAAGAATTATGTACGTTATAAAAAAGAAAGTGTATTATTATTACGTTTGTATTAAAAATTAATCACTTATTTAAGTTTGAAAATAAGATTTTAAGGCATTAGCAATTACAAAATTTTACATAAATTAACTTTTGCTTTGCTTCCTCGCTTTGATTCAAATAATTTACATAGCGTCTTAAATCATTAACTATTGATAATGCCTGGGCGTGTGACAAAATCGTAGTTGATTCATCTTCTTCTTAATCATTATCACTTAGGGCCTTGTGTGTTATTCACATTCTCGATAAAATCTTGAATTGATTAAATTTGGTACGGTGCCACATTGTCATCAATGGAAGAATATCCAGGAAAACTCTGGGGGTCGCTTAGCGTGCACCGCTCGACAGTCGTCACGGCAATCGCTGGCCGCTGCCGCAAGAGGTAATATGTGTGGTACGTGTTGGCGATATAGTCGTATTAAACAGGATGACGAATCGTATAAGCGTTAAGAAATGTATGGAAACATGTCTCAAGTTGCAGAGACCGACGCAAAATGGCGTATTAAGCGTGATCGTACTAAACGGGTTCTACTGTATTACATTTTGTGTTATGTTGTTTCTTTACTTAACTGCAAGATTTAAGGTTTTAAAATTAAGTGGGCCTTCATTGGAGCCTGTACTATAAAATGCAAAGCTATTTTATATTTGAAATAAAAAATATAAAAGTATTTACATTTTGTATTTAAATACTTTTTATAATGTATTTTGCGCATCTCTGCCTGGTATTATAGGTTGGTGTGCGCGAAAACCGAATCACCAAAATCGATATCTCAGTAGAGTGACGAGACGATTAGTTATCACTTGCCAGTCTATCGGTAATAGATAAAAATAATAATACCTGTACGTAACTTACGATAATATGTTGCTCTTATCATTAGTTTATGTCTTCCATCACTAAATAAATTAGTCATTTGATGTTTGAGAGCTGCTGACTCAGCTTAATATAGGCCAACCAAACCTGACGCTGTAATTACTTAAGATTTTTTTGTACCTTTTGATTTAAATTACGCATTTTAAATACGCACGCAAATTAGTATAAAAAAGGATAGACATTTAGTTAGACCAACTGTAATATACAAATTAGAAAATTAAATGTTTTGAAGTTTGAAGTTTACTGGGATTTGTTGACACTACCTTTAGTATTCGAGTAGAAGAAATATTTAATTTCTTAATATTTAGCCTAGTCACTAATATTATAAATGCAAAAGTGAGTTTGTTACGCTTTCACGCCTAAACCGCTGAAAAGACTGCTGAATTTTGGTATAGAGATAGATAGGAGACGCTTATGGGCTATTTTTGACGAATTAAAACTTGGGAGGTGAAACTGTAAGGTAGTTTTATACCTACATGAAACCAAATAAACCATGCAGACCAAGTCGCAAGCGTCAGCCAGATTTACAATAATTATGATTTACTTATTTATTTTGATTATTTAATTACCAATTGTTTTTCTACTTCTGTATGTAATATGGGTACTACGCCTGAAATAAATGTTTATTATTATTATTATTTATATACCTACTCTTTATTTTTATAATACAAATGAAACAAATTGTAAAAAAGCGTGAAAAATTAAAATATGAAGGAGCGGGATAAGTTTTGCTATTTGTTTTTTTCCTGTCTCCAAAGCCCTGTACCTCTCATAGTGGATAGCGGGCATAATTCTGTCTACAGAAACTTAAGCGTACATATATTGGACAAAACTGCCTCAATTTTAATTAATGTCTTTCACACTAACAGCCATACTCAGAAACGTCAAATTTATTTAAAGCTTCATTAAATCACGTGTTCGTCATCGCAAAGAAAGTGTGAGAATAGACATTAGTCACACTTAAAAGTTAACAGACTTTTTTGAGTGCGGCTTGAACAGTACGTTCACGAGAGTTTAATTAAACGTACCTACGATTTATTCATATGATCATCTATCTATACTTATAATAAATCTGTAAAGAGGTCAATTCTGTACATGAAATATATTTTCAAAATAACTATCAGGGGGTGATTAGTGATCGATACTGATGCCAAAAATGCAATCAATAAAATTTTTGTCTGTCTGTCTGTCTGTGTGTATGTTCCTTATAGAAACAAAAACTACTCGACGGATTTTAACGTAACTTGGTACTCTTATAACTTGGTACTGTATTATTCTTTATACTCCTGGGCAGGTTATAGTATACTTTTCATCACGCTACAATCAATAGGAGCAGAGAAGTGAAGGGAAATGTTGGGAAAACGGGAGAAGTTACTCCATTTTTTTAGCTTCCGTTGCGTGTGCAGCCTTAATGGTTAAAGTTACATAGAAATCATGTATGACGAAAATATTCTACATTAAATTGTCTAAAAAATATCCTGCAACAGCATATGTCTATCTTTTATGGTTGACTCACAATAACACGTGTAACTCCTGATAGCTTAGCAGTTCGAAGCATTCTGATTATATTTGTTTACTCTTACGTTTATAATACTCTCACTCATCCCTAATTTAAAAAAGTTAACATTATTACCTATTCAATAAAAAAAGAATCATAGAAATCGGTATAGAAACACCAAACTTATACATGAAATAAGCCATTGCGCCGTCGCACGTGAATACTGAATCATGCTATAAGGATAATTTTTGTGTACACTTCAGCTCTACACCGAAGCGAAGCGAGGGCGGGCCACTTACTAGTGGTACTAGGGTACATTATTTATTACTATAAATAATAATGTCAACACTCTGTCACACTCAAAGCAGAAACTCTAGTTACTCAAAAATAGTAAAGTCGGCATGGTACCTTCTAAAATTTTGCGTAAAAAATGCATTACTTATTCAAATTCAAAGCCACTGTGACGCCATTGGGGATTTATTTTATTACTTAATATCATAGGTATATAAACATAACCCAGAAAACAGAGTTGAATAAAAAACTCACACTGGTCATTGAGTTATTATTATTTAGAGTGAAGATAAGAATCAGCCAGCATGCGACTGATTATCAGCAAAACAGCGTGTGCTAGACAGTTAATTTTACACATCTACGTAAGTCATTAGACACGAAATATTATACCTCGAAAATATGTAAATTAATTAATTTACTTACAATAAAATAATTTATCTTTTATTGATATTGAATATTTATACATTATATTTAAGGAAACACCATTTGATCGGTTTAAAAATTACCTATTTAGTTACAATTATATTAAAGTGAATTTTAAATAATTATTCCTCCCAATAATAATAATAAATTATTGTGCAATAAATGTGTTCCACAGGTACAAAAAAAATAAAAAACAAAAATAGTATTTGTACTATGGCTTTTCACAAATAAAATGAAAATGGGTCGTCACATGATAGTTTGATCCTAAGGTTAGCATGAATCACCCAAAACAGCTCAAGATTATAAAAAAGAAGAAATTTATTTCTACATTCGGTATCCCGCAAGCAAGCTCATGAATTACTCGAAACAGTTCAAAATTATAAAAAAGAAGAAATTCATTTCTACATTGGATGTCCCGGAAGCGAGCTTGAGGCTTCAAAGGTGGCGAGGATGCCAATTCTTCAGACCTCTGTTAAAGTGCTCATCAATTACATAATATTGTAAGTTTGATACAAGGGGGTGTAAGTGATTTTCTCTGAGTGGAATAAATTGGTTTCCCATACTAACATGGGTCACCTACCTACTCCTATTTTATCTCCCTAAGATTATGTTTGATTAAATTGAAATATTAACAAGGGTCCCCTTGTTAATATTTCTTCCATCAAAATCATTTAAATAGTTTGGGTGTGTCTGCAACAATCAGACAGACATAGTTATCCCCATAAAATATAATATTAATAAGGAAGTGCGAATCAATAATTTCCTTACCAATATAAAGTCTTTTCTTGGTCTGCCAGCGGGAGATAGCACGTGCAATGAAGGAATGATGCCCACAAACTGTTTGAATTTTAGCTTCTTCTTTCACTTGACGCACAGCATTTTCATGTACTACCTGTAATTAATAATTTTATTAACAAATAACAATTGCTGAAGTATATTAAAACTCTTTTACAATTTGTGGATAACAATTTGAAAAGGTTATCCAGGAAATCCTTACAATTATTATGCAATTGTCATGTTTATTGACATACTTTGATGAAGCTTAGATCCTTTTAGAGACAAATACATAAAAAGCAAACATAATATAACTATGTATAGCTAGAAGTTTAAATGTGGATCTGTAACCTAAAATCACAGTAGCCATCTTACGTGATTCACCTAAAGTCTAGAAGAAATCATGTTAAATACATGATTCATATTACAAAGCTAGAAATATTGGAACTCTATAGAAGACTTAAGAAACATAGGGTCAAGTGGGCATAGGTGTAACAAAGGTTACAGTGTAACATAAGGAATATCTATAGAATATACCCGACCATTTGACATCTGATGACATTTGCTTAAGATGGTGGCATTTGAAAGTAATAAAACACATTAAGACAGATCACAGACAAATAAAGAAAGAGCAGAGATATTCCTTATGTAACACTGTGCCCCTTGTTAAACTGTCCCCCACTTGACCCTTCTTTAATGGTCACAGTAAACTTCATTAAACATAAAGTAACTTAAACCATCATTTTAACATCTCAACTTAAATATTTAATGTACTCCTACTTTAGCTACAGACTCAGATTAAGATAATGGAAATTGCATTGTAACACACACACAATAAATGAAACACGCTTCAATGAATTCAAAATGTGTCTTACTCTTTGAAAAAGTAATAAAAAGAAGCATTTTGATAGTGTTTCATTTAAGAGCTTACGTTGCATGTGCTGTGTTAATTGCTAGTTACACAAAAATCATGTATGATGGAATTGTTTCCCTTAAAAAGTTCTATAAAAAATCCCCAATGCCATATGTCTATCTTTTAAGGGTGACTCTATATAACCATTTTCCTCAAATTAATGCCAGTGACACTGCAGGGCACCTCTCAGTTTTAAATATAGCAAAATACATAGGTAATTATAAATACCACTTTCAATTCTAAAGCTTAAAAATATTCTGTGATATGTGCTTCTTAAGTGCATAATTAAATATATTTATGAAACTTCTATTTCTTATAAAATCTGGTAACTTATTAAATAGTCCCGCTCCCTCAGTGGTAAAAATCCTCTATCCCAGTTTTGTTCTACATTTTGGTATTAGAAAAAATAATTAGGTCTTCTCTGGCTATAGCTTTAGGAATGTTTCTATTGTCTTGTGTAGGGATGAATTGTAAATTTAATTTGGAATGTATTTTAGTTTAAAATTTCTGCTAACTAATATTAGTATTAGGTCTGAATAAAAAAACTAAACAATTCATTTATGACTTAAATTAAATAAGTTTATATCCATGATAGCCAATTTATTTGCATTAATGCTTATTATTAAATTAAATGAGCATGAGTTGTTGGTGTCAATGAACTGCGAAATTACATCATCTTCAGAAATCTTGCATAGTATTTTTTTGTGTTGACTATTGAAAATACCAAAAAAGGGGTTTAATTAAAATTGTAGATATTTAAATAACATAACAATAAAATGAAATTCTAACCTGAGCTTTACTAAGAACTTTCAATGCATATTCCTTATCATCGGCACACTTTATCACTTTGTAAACTTTGCCAAAAGCTCCATTAGCTATTATATCACCAATTTGGAAGTCCTTTTGTAATAAATCAGTATTGATGGGGAATTCAGGCAGGAAGATTGATTCTTTGTGAGCTACGGGCCAAGCAGTCTTACTCCCTTCCAAGGGGTTATTTAATGTTGAGTCATTCCATCTACAACAAAAATAATGGAAAATAAATAGTGACAGCAAAATTTAATATTTAGAAATTAGGAAACTATTCATTTAAATTGAAAAGTCGAAATAATAATATTGTTGTTATATACATGTGGTATTTATTTACACTAGTTAGTATAAAAAGCACATGCAAATTATTGACGATAAAGGATTGTATCTATTGTTTATTATGTATATTATTCAGCTTGGTACCAACCTTCGGCGAGATACACGAGACCAAGGTCGTGATGCGCTGTATACGGACTGGTTACTGGTTACGCTAACGATGGAACGACCGCTTAGGTTCCCGACGAAATGCGAGAAACTAAACTGTGCACACAAAAATATTGCATGTTTACATTGGTACCTATACGCTAGTCACAAAAAACTGACGGGTTCCAGACACAATAACACCACGCTTAGCCAAAACTAAACGAAAACAACCAGTCAAAACAGACAAAGAGCAGATTATTTATTACGTGTGTTCAATTCAGCTGGGGATGACATTAGCAAGTTTTCATTTCGCAAACACCTACCTGACTTGTAAATGCTGGTCCGTCGTTGTCTCCGTGTATTGATTGTTGGTTACTCCTGTGCCTACTGCTTTTGTTATGCGTATTTCCCATTAAACCTATTGAATTGGTCCTCTAGATTCGGATATCAATTTATTTTTGTTTTGTGACAAAAAAACTATTGTCTAATCTTCCAAACCATAAATTACCCATAGACATTGCTTTTTTTTGTTGTGTTATAATATTTTCCCGAGAGAAGGCAAAGAGCGTAGACCATACAGCCTATTCTTACGTTTTTTTATAAAGACTCCCCCACAGGTCCAACTTCGCTACTGCGATAATTTGACGACCTCCGTGGCCGAGTAGTTTGTACGCCAGGTTTCAGGATGTCGCCGACTCGAGAGGTCCCGGTTTCGAATCCCGGTGGAGGCAGTTGTTTGTGTGATGAATACGATCATTTGTACTCCAGTATGGATGTTTAATATGTATAATATATAAATATACTTATATATGTACAGTATATGTATTCTATCCCTTACCCTAGCATCCCATAACACAAGCCTTACAGTGCTTATTATGGGGCTGGGCTAATTGGTGTGTTTTGGAAATATTTATTTTATAATGCATCCCGATTCCTTGCATATAACTGGTTGTTGGTTTTTATCGTCCGATAATTCCCCTACCGGTCAAGTTTATGTATCTACCAGCTATATTCACGCAATATTTTATCAAAGAAGTATCTGTATTCCTACAACTTCATTTATAATAAATATTATTTACCTTCCCTTTCGGCGTCTTCGTCGGTCACCTTCCATAATTACTGTCTTTGATAAAAAATCATCGTCTGATGATAAATCTATTTAAAGATTTTTAGATAGGTATCCATTTATAGATTTTTAGTAGACTTGCAACGAATATTCGGTTACTATTCGGTATTCGGCCTATTCGGCTGCTTTTATTAAATTCGGCCGAATACCGAATATCTACATATTATTCGGCCGAATACCGAATACTTAAATGATGTATTTTGTCATAGAGAAATAATTGGTAAAATGAAAAATTTTAATCGATTGATTACGTATATATTCATATTTTCATTTCTGTTATTTGGTACATAACACAGGTACATAATCATCTTCTGAATTGGAAAAATGGAGGATTCTATGTATTTGAATTATTGTGTGCTAGCTGCTTAGCTAGTTGCCTAACTAGTGGCCCAGCTTGCTGCCTATCAAGTTGCATAGCTAACTGCCGAGCTAATTGCCTAGCTAGCTGTGTAGCCAGCTGTTTAGCTAGTAGCCTAGTTAGATGCCCAGCTAGCTACCTAGGTAGTTGCCAAGTTAGCTGCCTAGCTAGCTGTGAAGCTAGCTGCATAACTAGTTTCCTAGCTAGCTGCCTAGCTAGTTGTTCAGCTAGCTATGTAGCTAACTGCCGAGCTAGTTGTGGAGCTAGTTGGCAAGCTAATTGACTAGCTTACTGTTTAGCTAGTTGCCTGGCTAGCTACTCAAGCTAGATGCCTAGCTAGCTGTGTAGCCAGCTGCTTAGTTATTAGCCCAGCTAGCTGCCTAGCTAGTTGTGTAGCTAGCTGTCAAGCTTGTTGCCTAGCTAGCTGTGTAGCTAGTTACCTAGCTAGTTGCCCAGCTTGCTGCCTATCTAGTTGCCCAGCTAGCTGCCTAGCTAGCTGTGAAGCTAGCTGCCAAGCTAGTTGCCTAGCTAGCTGTGTAGCTAGTTGTGTAAACAGCCCGCCGTACTACTCGAGACACTAACATCCATATTCTTAGTCGTTTCCTCGAGATTTTCTCCACTCGACTTAACCTCATTTGTATGCTTAGACAACAAAAATATCCTTCACTTGAGATATTCCTCACTCGAGTGGAGGTCGAGTCGAGGAATAAACTGTCAAACTCAAGGTAGCTCTCGACGTACCTTAAGGCTTCCTCGAGTGGTGTTTAAGGTGTTTTCAAGTTGTTTTTATCGAGAATTATGTCTGATTTTGAGATTATTGACGAATTTGTGGATTTTATGGATTACGTATACGATTTATTTATTTATTCAGTAACACACATAATTATCCGGCGCAACGATATTTATGTGATGCCTCAAATCCTTTTAAGGTTTACGACAATTATTCGTTTCAAAGAAGATTTCGGTTTAGAAAAGATACAGTCATACAAGTAATATTTCCTCTGCTAAGCATTATAGAAATAAAATCCTCCAGATGATGACGTCACAATGTTGAGGAATCCTCAGTGGAGGAATTCTCAAGTTTGCTCAAGATACCAACTAGAATACCATTTTCGAGGTTATTTGGAGGAACTCCTTAAGGAGCCCTCGAATGAGTTTGAGTCGAGGAACGTTTGAGGACGCGACTAAGAATATGGGTGTAAGACTAAGACTAGCTGGCTTACCTAACTAGTGGCCCAGCTTGCAGCCTATCTAGATGCATAGATAGCTGTTAAGCTAGTTGCCCTACTAGCTTCCTAGCTAGTTGTGTTGTTGGCAAACTAATTGCCTAGCTTACTGTCTAGCTAGCAGCCTAGCTAGCTGCTCAAGCAAGTTGCCTAGCTAGCTGTGTAGCCAGCTGTTTAGGCAGCTAGCTAGACAACTAGCTAGGAAGCTAGTAGGGCAACTAGCTTAACAGCTAGCTATGCAACTAGATAGGTTGCAAGATGGGCCACTAGTTAGCTAAGCAGCTAGTCTTAGTGTCTTAGTAGTACGGCGGGCTGTTTCCGCAACTCGACACCCAGTGCCTATTTTGCGCGGGGATTGGCATCAGTCCTGCCATCCCAGCTCCTCCAGAAAGCTCAGCAGTCCTCGAATGTTGCTGCAGGCCTCTACTATTGTCTTCGGGCTTCCCATTAGAGAAGTCCTTTGTCTTGTAACACCCCGGCACTCTCATCCTCCTCCAGGCAGGCTCTGCAGAGGGCTGTCAGAAATACCTATATTACAAAGGTGTTTGTTGAAGTAGCCGTGACCTGTGAGTATACCCACGATTTGTTTTAGGGCTTGTCTAGGTAGTCTGATTAACTCACGTGTTAGCTGCAGGTTTACCTTAGGAACGGCTTCCCTAGCTTGCCTGCAGTCCGTGAGTTTTGACCAGTATTTGTCATGTTGTCGTTGAGAGCGCTCCCTTATCCAGGTTCAGCTAGCTACCTAGCTAATTGTCTAGCTAGCTGCCTAGCTAGTTGGCAAGTTGCCTAGCTAGCTGTGTAGCTAGTTGGCAAGCTAGTTGCCTTGCTAGCTGTGAAGCTACCTGCTTAACTAGTTGCCCAGCTAGCTGGCTAGCTCTCTGAAAGCGCTTCTGTCCTACAGGCACTGGACAACAATATAATGACTTCAAGCTTAATTTATGAATGCCACAGTAAGTTGACTAATATTGCTTACGACAATAGATTGACCTAACAGTGGATTAAAGGACACAGCGGCCTACCGGATACCTTATCGACAGCTGAGAACCTGGATAAGGGAGCGTTGTCAACGACAACACGATGAATATTGGGCAAAACACACTGACTGCAGGCAAGCTAGGGAAGCCGTTCCTAAGGTAAACCAGCAGCTAACACGTAAGTTAATCCGACTACCTAGACAAGCCCTGACACAAATCGTGGGTATACTCACGGGTCACGGCTACTTCAACAAACACCTTTATAATATAGGTATTTCTGACAGCCCTCTGTGCAGAGCCTGCTTGGAGGAAGAGGAGACGAGCGCCCATGTTCTGCTGGAGTGCAGAGGCGTTGCAAGACAAAGGACTTCTCTAATGGGAAGCCCGCGGACACTAGTAGAAGCCTGCAGCAACATCCGGGGACTGCTGAGCTTTTTGGAGGAGCTGGGATGGCAGGACTGATGCCAATCCCCACGCAAAATAGGCACTGTGTGTCGAGTTGCGGAAACAGCCCGCCGTTTTACTAAGACTAAGAAGCCCGAAGACAATAGTAGAGGCCTGCAGCAACATTCGGGGACTGCTGAGCTTTCTGGAGGAGCTGGGATGGCAGGACTGATGCCAATTCCCACGCAATATCGGCACTGGGTGTCGAGTAGCGGAAACAGCCCGCCGTACTACTAAGACACTAAGACTAGCTGGCTAGCTGCTTAGCTAACTAGTGGCCCATCTTGCAACCTATCTAGTTGCATAGCTAGCTGTTAAGCTAGTTGCCCTACTAGCTTCCTAGCTAGTTGTCTAGCTAGCTGCCTAAACAGCTGGCTACACAGCTAGCTAGGCAACTTGCTTGAGCAGCTAGCTAGGCTGCTAGCTAGACAGTAAGCCAGGCAAGTAGTTTGCCAACTACACAACTACACAGAACTAACTAGGCAGCTAGCTACATAGCTAACTAGACAACTAGCTAGGCAGCTACTTGGCAACTAGCTAGGCAGCTAACTTAGCAACTAGCTAGGTAGCTAGCTGGGCATCTAACTAGGCTACTTGCTAAACCGCTGGCTACACAGCTAGCTAGGCATCTAGCTTGAGCAGCTAGCTGCCAAGATTGTTGCCTAACTAGCTGTGTAGATAGCTGCGTAACTAGTTGCTTAGCTAGTTGCCCAGCTCGCAGCCTAGCTAGGTGTGTAGCTACTTGGCAAGCTAGTTGCCTAGATAGTTGTGTAGCTGGTTGGCAAGCTAGTTGCCTTGCTAGCTGCTTAACTAGTTGCCTAGCTAGCTGCTTAACTAGTTGCCTAGCTAGCTGCTTAACTAGATGCCCAGCTAGCTGCCTAGCTAGTTGTGTAGGCAACTTGCTTGAGCAGCTAGCTAGGCTGCTAGCTAGACAGTAAGCTAGGCAAGTAGTTTGCCAACTACACAACTACACAGAACTAACTAGGCAGCTAGCTAGCTGTGGCTAGCTAGGCAGCTACTTGGCAACTAGCTAGGCAGAGTTCCTCAAGGCGGCGTCTTATCTCCCCCTTTTTTCGCTGTCCTAATCAATAATTAATTATTTGAAACAGAGTTGATTAAGAAATATTTCTTCTTCCTACCATCATGCCATGTCATATGCAGATGACCTCCAAATCTATTGACAAGCATCATCACTTGGTCTACTTTTAGCTGTGTAGCCAGCTGTTTAGCTAGCCAGTTTAGCTAGCTAGTTAGTAGCCTAGCCAGATGCCCAGCTAGCTGTGTAGCTAGCTGCCAAGCTTGTTGCCTAGCTAGTTGTCTAGTTAGCTATGTAGCTAGCTGCCGAGCTAGTTGCTAAGCTAGTTGGCAAGCTTATTGCCTAGCTTACTGTTTAGCTAGTTGCCTAGCTAGCTGTGTGTGTTTAGCTAGGAGACTTGCTGGTTGCCCAGCTAGCTGCCTAGCTAGCTGTGTAGCTAGCTGCCTAGCTAGTTGTGTAGCTAGCTGCCAAGCTTGTTGCCTAGCTAGCTGTGTAGACAGCTGCTTAACTAGTTGCCCAGCTCGCAGCCTATCTAGGTGTGTAGCTACTTGGCAAGCTAGTTGCCTAGATAGTTGTGTAGCTGGTTGGCAAGCTAGTTGTCTTGCTAACTGCTTAACTAGTTGCCTAGCTAGCTGCTTAACTAGTTGCCTAGGTAGCTGCTTAACTAGTTGCCCAGCTAGCTGCCTAGCTAGTTGTCTAGTTAGCTATGTAGCTAGCTGCCGAGCTAGTTACTTAGCTAGTTGGCAAGCTTATTGCCTAGCTTACTGTTTAGCTAGTTGCCTAGCTAGTTGTGTTTAGCTAGTAGCCTTGCTAGTTGCCCAGCTAGCTGCCTAGCTAGCTGTGTAGCTAGCTGCCAAGCTTGTTGCCTAGCTAGCTGTGTAGATAGCTACTTAACTAGTTGCTTAGCTAGTTGCCCAGCTCGCAGCCTAGCTAGGTGTGTAGTTACTTGG